GGTATGTAAAACTAAGTATTTCTGGTAAAAGTGTGATCCTGCCCACCACTGACCCATTGTCTCTATTGAAAGTCTCTGGAAAGGTGGTCTGACATGTCAGAGCTGCCCCTCTGGTTGGCACCAGGCTTCAGGCTTGTCTTTCTCCCAGCATGAGATTTTTGGGGGGGGGATTCCAACTTCTTGGGGACCAACGATTTAATAAAATGATTGCTAAAGGGAAAGACACAAGCATCTCTTTTTAGAATATCTTTGCTCCTGACACAGTGATGCCATTGTCACAAGCACAGCACATGAGCGCAGCTGACAAATGGCCCCTTGAGTAGGCAGTCATGGGTGGGGTTGTGGTATTTTACAAAGATGTCTACCCTGGTGACATTTCAAAGTTGAGTTTGAAAATATAATTTACTGCATTAAATATCACTGTCAATATCACAGTACATGAAGCAAACACACACTTATCAAGGGAGGACTGGTTAGATGAATTGTCTTAGGTAGTACCCATACCAGGAGATGCCTCACTGCTGTTTAAAATGGGCTGGAGCTATGGCTCAGTGGTCATGAACCCTTGCTGCTCTTGTAAAGGACATGGGTTCAGTTCCTACTGCACACATCAGGTGGCTCACAACCATCTATAACTTCAACTCTAGGGTATCCAACGCCTTCTTTTGGCCTCCTCCAGAACCTGCCTGTGGCACACACACATGCAGCTATGTACACAATAGGCACGTAAGAAAAAAATAAATCTTGATGTAGATGTACAGACTGATGTCTATATATCTCTTCAAGATACATTAGCTGAAACACAAGACACAAAACAATGAGTGAAAAAAATAGTGGAGCTGGGCTGTGGTGGCACATGCCTTAATCCCAGCACTCAGGAGGCAGAGGCAGGCGGATCTCTGTGAGTTTGAGGCCAGCCTGGTCTACAGAGCGAGTTCCAGGACAGCCAGGTCTGTTGCACAGAGAAATCTTGTCTCATAGTTAATGGAAGTGGCCAGATGGCTGAGCAGGGAGGGGTGCTTGCCATCAAGACTGATGCCCTGGGTGTGATCCCAGGCCCCCACGTGGTAGAAGGAAAGAACCCATAAGCTGTCATCTGACTTCCACAGGCATACTGGAGTGTGCACTCCCTCTACTCTCAAAACAAAACAAAACACCCTGAATAAAAAGTCTTTAAAGTAGTTTCCTATCTACCTATAGACACAAACAGATACGTGTTTTGAATAACTCAAGAAGGCCACATTAAGAAAGCAGAAGAGAATGGAAGCATTGCTGGCAGGGATGAGAGGATTTTTTTCACAACTGAATTTGCATGATTATTGCTTCCGAAACAATAATGAAGAATGGGAATCCTTGGAAGCCAGCCTCCATAAAAAAGCAAAACCTAAGACACTGTATGATGCAAGACCATGAGGTAAATAAGGCCCACCCCTTTGACCCCACTCTGCCTCCCACAGGATTTTTTTCCTTGCCTTCTAAAGAAACAATGGCAGCTTGTGTTGATTGAACAACTCTACTGGGCATAATTCTGAAAACATCACACAGTTTTTACCGCATTTAATCTTCTCAACAGCCCTGAGAGAGGAGGGCACTGATACTGCCACCGTTTTATAAGTGACAGTTTTGGGACACAGCAAAGATAATCATTCTGCCCAAGGCACACAGTTTGTAAGAGCAGGCAACATTTGATGATGCACCTGAATCAAAATTCTCCACCTCTGTTCAACCACTCCTCAAGGACACAGCGTAAGTACTTGGAGTAGGGAGAATGTCCTCTGTGTTGTCACCACTGAGATGCCCCAGGAATGAATGAAGCCTACGTTTCTACAAAGACTCGTGGATAATTGAACACATGAGAAGTGCAACATTCTCCACCCGTGCCTTCTCACCCCGTAAACATGAACATGTAGCTATGAAATTAAATGGTGTTTATTATGCAAAAACTCTTTAATTTTAACCTGCCTGTGAGTGCACCGTCATAAGAGAAGCCTAGAGTGTCTTTTGTTTCCAACCCTTGTAGTTAGGAGTACTTGTTGAACCCTGATGAGAAGTGCATCCAAGTGGCAAACAATTATGAAATCCACCAAATGGTTTTTGAGGAGAATCTTGGCATTGTAAGATCAATTCACATGCGTTGTCAACACCTACAACCCGTCACTCACACACTCAGGGCTGCAGACCTGTCCCTGACTGGTGCACAAAGCCATGGTCCAGCTCCTCAAGGGGCAAAGTGTACAAGGATTTGATGCTTCAGGTCTTGCTCCTCCGAGGGCTCCTATAGAGGCACAGTCATGGAGAACTCAGGGGAGCTGATTCAAGGACTTTATTGTAGACAAGGGCTATGAGACAAAGTGAGTCTATCATTTTCCTCTTTACTTTAGCATTTCATTTTCCTCTTACTATTCTCACATTCTATATTTTAGCTATTATTTAGCTTTCTGGTAGCTCAGTAATTTACAAGTTGCTGGTTTCTCTGATTCAAAACAAAATGAGGAAATTATTCATTGACATTTTTGTTTACTAACATTGCCAGGATTGAAACCAAGGCCTCATGCATGACTTCTTTGTTCTTTTATTAAACCACCAATAGCTTATCGTCTCAATGTCTCCAAGCAAAATGCTGTTAGCAATCCCACACCTTTCTGTATTAGTCAAGACTCACTGGAGAAACAGAACCAGCAGGAGATACATTGGGAGGTGGGGTGGGAATTGGTTTACAAGACTGTAGGGGTTATCAGTCTTATCTCCTAAACCTTTAGCTGTGTAGATGAGACCCATCCAGGTATGCAGATGCTGTGGTTTAGATATGATTTCAATGTATCCCCCAAGTGTTCATGTGATGGAAGCTAAGTTTTCATCATGGTCTTTGTCTTGAAGTGGTACCACGTTTCTCGGTTCTTGGATGGCACTTAATGCAGAGTAATTACTTAGTCACTGTGGGTGCTCCTTTCAGAAGAAGTTGACAGCTCTTGTGGGACCTCGGGCTGTTCTCCAGAGTGTGCTGATCTCAAAATTGCCTGGACCCTGATGCTGTCTCTGGCTTTCCGTGTCAACATGTGATCTCTGTCATAGCTGCTTCATCATTCTAATGTCATCTGATGATCTAATGTCATCTAGGTCCTCGCCAGAGACCAAACTGAGAGGCCATTTGACCTCGGTCTTACAGCCTTCCAAAATACAAGCTAATAAACCTTTTATTTATAAAGTATCCAGTTTCATCCATTTTCTTATAGCATAGAAAATGAACTAACACAGGCTCATCTGCTTTACTCAACGTCTCCTGATTAAATAATTAAACACATCTAAGAAAACAACTTTCACAGCAACATCTAGACTTGTGATTGATCAAATTAGCACCAAGGCCCAGCTGGCTTCTCACATAAAATTAATTGTCATACCTCCCTTCTGGACCCCATTGCCTTTCACCAAGGATATCTCACCTACAGTTCCTACCTTCCCACTTTCTGGCACCATGTGTCCTCTCTCTCTCTACCATGTTTATTTATCTTTCCACTTTATGTCTAGATCCGTACTGTCCAACGCAACAGCTATGAGGTACATACCAGTTTATATATTAATCATTACAATTTCAATTCCTCAGTTGTACTAACCACCTTGAATTGTGAAGTAGCCATATATGGCTAGTGGCTAGCATATGGGATAGAGTTAAAGAGGATATTTCCATCATTGTGTAAAGTCTCATGGGACAGAGTTGCTTTAGATAGTTCTTCACTATATACAGCCTTGACTTTGACTTTTATTATTATTATTTTATGAGAGAGGGTCTTGCTATGCAGCATAGCCTGGCTTCAAATTTAAAATTATCCTATTCCCACTTTGGAATAGTGGGACTATGGACACATACACATGGCTGACACTAACTGTTAATCTTTCTATTCTAGGTTTGTAGTCTCCTTACCATCTAGATACAGAAATACTCATTGAGTATTTTATGGAAAAATAGTTTAATGCATTTGTGTATGAGTCAGAGTATGTAATCTAGCTGCTGAAACAAACAACCCCAAAATGCCAGAGGGGCACAACACAAGGGTTTGTTTATTGCTTTGTTCACTTTTCCTGTGCTTTGCAGTCATTTGCAACTTCCCTTAAGGTCTGAGGGTACTCTGCATCTGGCCAGCCAACAAATAAAAACTGGGAGGATTGTGCCGCTGCTTTGGAACCAAGCCAGGAAGCTGTATATAGTTGAGGCCATGTTTCATTAACCAAACTTGGTCCTAAAGACCCTAACTTCTAGAAAGGATGTTGTTTTTCTGAGTGCCATGACTAAGGGAAGGGTGAAGAGGCAGGGGTGAATAAAGCAATGATGTGCGTCAAGTGTAACATCATAACATGTAGAAAACACATTCTATGTAAATTCATTTTCTTCACCAACAACAATCATGTCCACATAAGAAAAACTCTGGCTGACATAGTGTATATTTTACACATCTCAAATGCTGTAGCTTGGATATGGTTTGAGTGTGTCATCCAGAGTTTCATTACCAAAATTTAGTGCCCGTTGTGAGGTAGTAACAGAGTAGAAAATTGATCTGCTATGGTGTTTAAAAGTAGGGCCTGGGGGAAATGATTTGTTTTAAAATCATTAAGATGGGGAAAACTGTGTGAATATCAAGACTGGGATACAATGTCTCCCAACCAAAAAATACCAAAGATTGTCTCCAATCCACCAGAATCTAGAATGAGGCATGGGGATTTTTCTTGCCTAAGGAAGGAACCAGCCCTGCAAAGAATTCCATCTTGAACTTCTAGCTTCTAAGATGTGACACAGTGTGTAGCTAGAGTTTTCCTGCCTTGTTCACAGTCAGGACAAATCTTTGTCACCCGCCAGTCCCACAGCCGCTCAGACCCAACCAAGTAAACACAGAGACTTATATTGCTTACAAACTGTATGGCCGTGGCAGGCTTCTTGCTAACTGTTCTTATTGCTTAAATTAGTCCATTTCTATAATCTATACCTTGCCACGTGGCTGGTGGCTTACCGGAGTCTTCACATGCTGCTGGTCATGGCGGCGTCTGCAGTGTCTCTCTGCCTCCGCCTTCTGCTTCCCACAATTCTCCTCTCTCCTTGTCCCACCTACTTCCTGCCTGGCCACTGGCCAATCAGTGTTTTATTTATTGACCAATCAGAGCAATTTGACATACAGACAGTCCCACAGCAACAGTGCATCTTATTGCTTTAGCCTTCTACACTGCCATACTCGGCTGTAGCAGCGCTAGTGAACTTATACAATACTCAGACAGTTACTGAATTAGCTATACAAAGTATGGAAAAAATGGAAGAGAGGCCTGGGGAGATGGTAAGAGAGCTGGTTGCTCTTGCAGAGACCTCAATTCTGTTCCAAGCACCCATAAGCCCACAACTGTCTGTGACTCCAGCTTTAAGGGACTCTCACACCCTCTTCTAGAGTCTGAGGAACCCCTCCCCCAATACACATGTGCGCATATGTGGAAATTTAGTGGTAGAGCATTTATCTAACATGCTCAAGGGCTCAATCAAAGGGTGGGGGGAAGGACATGGTATTTTGTTGCTGGTGAGCTTCTCTCCAGGTTCCATTAAGCCCCGCAGTCCCACAATCCACATATAAAATACTCACTCAGACATTTATATTACTTATAAACTGTATGGCCGTGGCAGGCTTCTTGCTAACTGTTCTTATATCTTAAATTAACCCATTTCTATAAATCTATACCTAGCCATATGGCTGGTGGCTTACCGGCATCTTTACATGTTGTTTCTCCTCGCAGAGGCTGCAGTGTCCCTCTCCCTTTCTTCCTGTTTCCCCAATTCTCCTCTCTCCTTGTCCCGCCTATACTTCCTGTCTGGTCACTGGCCATCAGTGTTTTATTTATATAGAATGATATCCACAGCAGTATTTATCTTTTAAAAGGTACAATTCTAATTTCAACACATTTCTGAAAGACATGTCACCATTTCATTCAATTGCTTTAATTAACATAACAGTTTCATGTAGCTTATCCAAAGACCCATATGAATGCTGGGCTGAGACACACTGACTTTCCGATGCTGTTGGCTTACTGGGGACACATATTTTGAACTAAATTACACAGATTACCAGCTACATGACTTTTTTCTTCATCTTTTAAATGAGGGAACCAAAGTCGAAAGTGATAGAATGAACCTGTAATTCCAGTATCCAGGAGGCAGAGGCAAGAGCATTGTCATGAGTTCTAGGCCAGTGTGGTCTACGTAGTGCGTTGTAGGCCACCTGCGCTACATAACAAGAGCCTTTTTTAAACAACAAAAAATTAATTAAATTAAATTAAATAAGGGGCTGAAGTCAGAGTCCTTACTTCTAGTTCATCTTTATACTTGCAGTAACATTTGACAACCCAAACATCTCAGTGGTTTATAGTCCAGGCAGGCTACTAAAGAAACTAAACTAAAGAAAAATATTAAAAGAGAGTCTGTCCCTAATTAAATATTTAAAGTGAAGAATCCTGAATTCATTAAATGTTTATTGTTATTCTAAATGTATACTTTTGGCATAAATACTTTAGAAATAGTCTTTCCATTTGCTATGTGTTACTGTTGATAAAGGAGGCTCTCCATCTAGAATTATTATGTCATTAAAGTGTCAGTCATAGCCTGAGCATTTTAATTATTTTGAATATTTATTGTTTAACTATATTTAATTTTAGATTCTTCTAAACTGACCTGATAAAAATGGGGATATTAGCTAGGTGTGGTGGTGCACATCTTTAATACCAGCACTCAGGAGGCAGAGACAGGTGGATCTCTGAGTCTGAGACCAGCCTAGTCTACAGAGTGAGTTCTCAGAAACCATGTCTGGAAAAATCAAAAAACAGGGGCAGGGGCAGGGATGCTAAAGGGCTATCCTACCTGCTTACTCTGTGCTATTTTCTGAACATAATTATAAAATTGTTATCTTGGAAGAATGTGCAGACCTAAATAAAATGTTTTAAAAAAAAATGAAAGGCGTAAGTGTTACAGCTCTGAGGAGAAAGGTATCCTGGCAGTCAGGAGCCAAGGAATACCACAAAGTCACGCCACACGACAAACCTCACACAAGTGATTTATTGGGAAAGACAGAAGAGGATGTCTGCCTCTGCTTAGGAGAGAAGTAGCAAAGAGCTGAGCAGGAGACATGCTTTATGGAGGACTTCTTGGAGGTACACGCTTTCTAGGGTGGCCTGGGATTGGTGGGATTTTGTGGTCTTATCTTGGGGCAAGTCCAGGGATTGGTGGGCTTTTGTGGCCTGATCTTGGGCTTTTCTTCTTGAGGGTGGAGCTTGGCTGCCTGCGTCTTAAGGGGCCAAAAACAGCCAATTTGGACATTAGAGTACTCTGGGGGTTGGGGTCTGCTTACTCATATGCCTTGAGGGGCTTACGAAAGGTGTTTATTTTTGTCAGGATTGTAGTAAAACTTTGATTATCTATGTATAGGTTACTTTTCTCATAGCTGTGACCAAATACTGAGAGAAGCAACTTAAGAAGGATTTGTTCTGGTTCCCGGGTTAAGAGGGAAGCGTCCGCTATGGTAAGAAAGGGATGGCAGAGTTCATGACTGCAAAAGTGTGCAGCTGTAACTCCTCACATCTGGGTAGGGCCAGGAAATAAGGAACAGGGAATTCTGTTTCTATGCAGTCTGGCCCTGCAGCCCGTGGGATGCTGCAGGCCACATTTGGGATGGATCTTTCCCTTTAGTTAAATTTCTCTGGAAATATCCCCATCCCTGAGATGTGTCTCCTAGGTGATTCCAAATCTAATCAAGTTGACAATGAAGATGAATCATCGCACACTATAATTAGTAAAATAAACCTCAGCACACAAGCTTGGATCAACTTGATATAATGAGCTGATAGATTAACTAAGTATAAATCACATTCATGGTAACCTAACCGTGGGACAGGAGGGTCCTGTACTAGCTCTGAATATCACAGATCTGTTCTGGTCCTTCTCTGGTCATTTCATGTGAGGAAAGGAGGCCCCAAAGTCAAGCACATGCCCATGGGGGTGCACAAACACACATCTCCTAGAACACAGTCCCAGGTACCCGGAACCCTAGCATTTCCTGTTCAAAGAGTCCCAAACTGCTTTCCAGGGCCTTCAGAGACCTCTTTTCTGGGCCATTCTTACAAGGAGCCAACACTAGTGTTTAGCTTTAGGCCAAAAGGAGGCTGAGATAGGCTTATGGATGCAGATGGGATTTGTTGAATGGAGAGAAGGTAGGGCACATCCAGCCCTACTGTGGGTAAGGCATCTCATCATGCAACCCTGAACCTGGCATGGGAAATTGGATTAGGAAAGGGGTCAGAATTCTACCTTGATGTCCACATTCTTATAAAGATATAGTGGTGAAGACAGGAGAGACCCTATTTTACTTATAGCCTGTTATCCTGATATACGACATTTTTATTAGATGAATATTGTGTGTGTGCATGAGTGTGGATGCGTGTGTGTTAGAGTGCACAAATGGAGGTCAGAGGACAACTTTGGGGAATAAAATCAAATGCAGGTTGTCACACCTGCAGAACAAGCATCCTTGGATTGCTAAGCTGCCTCCCTGGCCCATGTGTTTTTTTTTTTTTTTTTTTTTTTTTTTTTTTTTTTAAAGGCAGGGTCTGTAAGGCCTGTCTGGAATTAGAGATCCTCCTGCCTCACTCACTGAGTGCTGAGATTACATGGATATATTGTCCAGTCCAGTTTAATTTGTACCTTTCAACATTTAGGCAGACAGTATGGGGAAGGAAGGCTCAGTAAAATCATAATCGTATGTTGTTGACCTTTGAGCATTTCATTGCTTTCCCTAATGACCAATTTAGTATTTTAAGTCAGAGTGTGGACATACACAGTGCATAGTGAACATGCTATGTCAAGGTATGAAACATGGACAAATGCTTCCAGAAACACCTGGGATTTACTATGCCTTAATTTTCAATTGTTTTGGTCTTTGTACATTGAGGAATGGTCGACTGTTGCAAACTTTTTAACACACAGCCCCACCCCCATACTGGACAAGCCCCGCAGTGTCCTGATTTACTATTAAAGAAGCCTTGATTTAAGTGACACTTTGCATATAAATGAACTACTGATTTGGGAAAAGTAACCCAAAAAAAATGTACAATAAGAAACCACACAGTGACTCCGTATATGTGTGTATAACATTTTTTTATTTTTATTTTTCCCTTCCAAATGGGTTTTAGAATACAGTTGTCTTTCTTCCGAAACCCTTTTGTCATGTTCGTGGAGGCAATGATAAAAACTGATACTATGTTCTGGGCCTTTATAACCACTAATTCATTTTGATTGATCTAAGGTTAGGTTAATCTTGCTGTCAACGCCTGCCTAATTCACTCTGGTGTGCCTTGGCTTTTCCATGGTCACAGCTGAGCAGTGGGAGAGAGGATTTATTTGCCGCAGTCTGGCTCCAGGCCTTGTTGGAGGATTGTCTGCAGAAGTAAATTGTCTGGTTCACAAGTAACTAGTTAGAAACCAAATCTTTGTCTCCTATAAAGGTTGATGGCAAATGGAGCCATCACGTTCTAAGGACAGCACGGCACTGCATACATCTGCTGAGTATTTTTTTTTTTTTTCTGGCTTTTTGTTTTGCTTTTTTAAGTGCTGGTAGCAAAACAACCTTGCCACTGGGTGTCTCTGCAAATTCTAAGAAGAAAAGAGGCAGGGAAAGGGGTGGGAAGCAAGAAACCGCATCTGATGAGTACAGTTGGAAGGGATTCTATAGCAGGAGCAGGGAAGAGAAACCCAGCTGCAGCAGAGAGAAGGTGACTCAGCTCTCTCGGCTTCTGGTCCCTTTGTAGCCTGTACCACCAGGGTTCGCCGCCCGGCCTGGATCTCAACCTCCGTCCCGCCCCCGCACGGCATCTTGCCCCGCCTCCTCGGCGCCCCGCCTCTGCCCCGCCCTCTTCAGGCGGCCTGGCTCCTTGTTTACCCGCGGTGCATGTCGGGGCGGTCTCCTTTGGCAACGCAGGCCCTCGCGCTGCCCCGGGGCGATGCCGCGAGGGCGCGGTGGCGGCGGCGTGCGCCAG